TAGTAAATAGAAAAAGTCGAAGAATAAGAAGGAATTATAACATTAGACTTTTTTAAATACAAAAAACATTTTTTATTATTATTTCAATTATCAGTTTTTCAAAGTATTGTATTTTTCATGTGATTTTCAATTTTTGTTTTGTATTATTTGTTTTGTTTTAGTATTAGTTTTGTTGTCAAATTGTTTGTTAAATTTAAATTAAATTAAAGTTAATTGTTAATCAAATAGAAAGCTCATGTGGTGTCACCAGCACTCTGACCCATACGTCCAGATTTTATAGGTTTTAGTGATTATATTAATTAAATCTATTTTATATTTTATATCTATTATATGTTATAATCATAATTGTGTTAATTAATGATAACAACACAACAACTTAAGTAAAAGTGTATTTTTGTTGTATAATAACAATAATACGGTTTGTTGTCGTAATTATAATAATAATAATAATAATTTAATATAATATAACATATTATGCATTGAATAAAACAAAGTGTTGTGCAATAAATATATGGGAAACACAAGAGAATCGGATGAATGGTTGAAATATATAGAGAATTATATCAATAATAATAATAATAGTAATAATAATCGTAAAGAATTAGTGAATATTGAGAGACAAAAATGAAAACAACATATCGTTGTGTTGTTTAGTAAACTAATTGTAAAAACTAATTGTCAATAAGATATATAAATGTTAAAATTATGATTAATGTAAAAATTATTACTATTATAATTGCAACATTGAATATGAATGAAAAGTGAATTGCATGCCGTTTTTTGAATGTGGTGAGAGATGGAACACAACTAAATTAACCATTGTCAATTTTGCTAATAATTTAATTAATCAGTGATTTATAACAAATATACATATAATATAACAAATAAATCGCTACAAAATGTAAGGTTTAGTGAGTGAACAACTAAATTGTGAACAGATTTTGTTGTTTATGGTTATAATTGGTGCCAACGAAACAGACAATTAAACATATGGTGTGTTATAAACATAATAATCGTGATCATAATCATAATAATGGTCAAAAATAACTACATGTATGTGTGTTTAATATTGGGGGGACTTTTAGATACACTCTTTTATTGATTAATTCGTGTCTTAATTATGTCTACATAATCATCGATGAGAGAGAGAGAGTGATAGAAAGAAGGATAGAAAGAGTGAAAATAATAATCAAACCAAATATCAAATGCATTCATAATTAATACATTCAAAAAACAAAACTCAAACAACAAATTGAATTTTAAACGTAAAAACAACAGTCAATATAATTAGTGATAATAATTATATTTATATCATATCTCATAGACTTATAGATATATAGAGACAATAGTTTCGTATAAACTAACAAATAATAGGCAAAAAACACTGTGTTTTTGTCCAGTGAGCAGTTATTTATTGTTTTATCATTTAAACCAATATGAATTAATTACGATTGAATTAATATATACTGTATATACATATTATATATTCTCATTTCATAATATAATATATACATAGACTTTATTACAACAATTTCGTTATATTATAATCAATCTGTTTGTGAAAACTTCACAAAACTCGGTAAAAATGAGCACAAAATAGAGCATAAAATGACAAAAAGCCAGAGAATTGAGGGCCAGAGCGAGAGATAGCGGGGTTTGAATGTATCGTAGGTTAGATATCGGGGGCAATGGATAAGACATATCAATGGTTACATTTTTCAAATACTTTACTCGTGGTATTTATACATATTTATGTGTAGTTCGCGATCCCTTTTCCCCATATATTCACATATAATATACAAATTAAATGCAATAATAATCACACAAATCCATTACAACGACAACAGCAACACAACAGAGATATAAGCGTTTGAATTGAATAAATCATAAAAACAGATAACAATTTGGAAATAATGAGAGAGAGAGAGAGAGAGAGAGAATGAGAGGCATTTTTGTGGCTTATTTAATAGGGTTTCATTTGCTGTGAAGCAAGAAGCCAAACACATAACACATATACATATGAAATGAAGAAATCGCTGGATTTATCACAAAATCAATTAACTTTCTAAAAAATATTTTAAAAAGCGATTTTTAGTTCAAGAAAGCGATTATTTGATTGCGATCTGAATGCGAGAGAGAAAGAAAGAGAGACTTAAGTGAATATAAAGTAAACAATAATATTGCCTGTATTTCAATGAGGAAATCATTATAAATAAAATGCGAGACTTAAGACACACGAGACTAGACATGCTATTCATGTAATTATTACGGCTATCAGTGATATATATTTATAAAGCGAGAGATCAGTCCTTATATGCGATTATAAGTAGCGATGATTTTGTGTAGACTTTTGAGAGTAAAAAGTTAAATATAAAGCAAATATGAAATAAATATCATTACAGAAGATATTAGATATTTATATACATTATATACACACAAACCAAACGCGGAGTCAATTTAGGAGATGTTAACTAAAATAATTGCAAAGAATATTCTGTGAGATCTAATCTCATGGTCTCATGCGTTGGCATTGTGTGAGTGAGACATATAGTGATAGAGAGAGAGAGAGAGAGGGACAGAGTGTGTGTGTGTTGTGTGCAATGGCTTTGAGTGAGAGAGTGATGGCGAGTGTGAATGAGAGAGAGAGAATAGAGGGATAGAGAGATTAAGTGGAAAATTGTCATATATTTATAGACAACACTATTAAACATAACGATAAGTATTTCACTATTAAATAAAAGGGCTTTTTGTGCGCAAAATAAGTAACAATAATATAACGACAAAAAAACCTAAAATAAATCATAAAATATAACTCAAATAAAACTCAATTAAATTAACAAAAAACAAAAATAAAAACAAACAAATAAAACACAATTTGATTAATTGACGAGATTATAGGCGACTGCCAATGACATTGTGTGAACACCTATTTGCTTAAGAATTCATTAGGCTTTTTATGTTTTGCTAAAAACGGCCACAATCACCATTAAACATGGTCATTCATATAATATACTAGTAATACTGATATATTTCATAACTTATTTAACCCGGAGCTGAATGCGAGAGCTATTAGTATTATTATTTTTTATCATAATCAAAGAGAGAGAGATAATGAGAGAGAAAACGCTAAATTCATGATTCGTTTAAATACATTATTTTTAATTATAAGTTTAGTTTAAGTTTTATTTATTAAATTGTATTTTATTTTTCTCGTAATTCAATCACTAATTAATATCACTGTGTTTTATATTTAATAATAAACTCCTAAACGTAATCTAATAATGAAATTAATTGAGAGAAACTTTTAATTTTCACTTTTATATATTTATTTTATATTTTCATTTATATATATGTAGTAGTAATCAAACCATCGTTTTTGTCACGTAATGCTCATTAGATTTATATAATAGTAGTTTTTTTCCATATAATATGTATTAAGTATTATAATAATAAAACCAACAGAAAAACCTTTTTTGTATTTGTATTTTAAATGTGATGTCAATTGTCTTAAAGTTTGTGTCATTTCTTTGGTGTGTATTTGTGTTGTGTTTTCAATTGTAAAACCATTAATGAAAAAGGGTTTCCATAAAAGAGAGTATTAAGTCATTGAAATTCTGTATAATTATATATATATATATATATATGTATTGAATGTTAATCTTATTTTGATGTCTGTATTGAAATCCATACCAATAAATATATATATATTTAATGATAATTATTACTAAAATTGTATTTTTTTCGTTATTTATAATAATAATTAACTTTTGTTTAGCTTATTATTTATTGAACACTAGAGTTAATTCGATTGCCATTAAATATATGTTAATTTGTTTTTGTATTATCTTTATCAATTGTTAAAATGTGTCTAATAATTAATAATTAATTAATTCATAATATAATATATAGATTTTTTTTGTTATAAATATTCTTAAAATAATTAAAATATTTCTTGTATTTTATAAGAAAAACACGATTCGTTTTCTTATAATAATAATAATTATATTAATTATTATAATAATAATGAATTCATTATTGGGTTTGCGGGCAATGAATTTGTGAATATATTTAAAACAGTATTTTTTATAATATTTAACGTTTTCATTAGTTTTTTTCTTCAAATATTTATCAATAATTATAATCTAATAATAATAACAATTTTTTTCAATAATAATATTTTTTGTAATAATAAATTCGTTGCAATTAAAGACTTTGATTCACAAATTAGTTGTTTCGCCCATAAATTGAATTATAAATCAATTTAAGTGTCAATTATATTTCAATTGTAATTATTAATTATTTTTTCGTTTTATATAACATATTATGGATTTAATTAATCGCATAATACATATGTTTATGAATTTGTTTGATATATAAATGAATGAAATGTTCAAAACAGAGCACAAGAGATATATTTATAGAAATAATTCAATAGATATTTGTAACGGAATTTCAAAAACTATATGTTAAGTAATAAACCAATAAATAAATAAATTATTAATTAATTAAATAAATAAATAGGAGAGAGAAAGAGAGAAGGAATTGGAAGATAAATCAAAATCAAAAATCAATCACAAAATCAAATGTTTAGAAAATTAACCAAAAAATGGTAAAATAAATATCAAAAATCAAAATCAAAAATAATAAGTAGAGAGAAAGACATACAGAAAGAGAGATAAAGAGAGAGACAGAAAGATATAGAAATTTATAAATATACTAATCGTGGTATTTATAATATAATATAATTCAATAAAAATCATGTCTCCCCTAATAAATAGAGATATTGTTTTGTGAGATATAATTCACTTATACTATAAATGAATTACAAAAAAACATAACTAAATGTATAATAAATATTCAATCATTAAAACACATATCGATCGGAGAAAAAAACACACCAATCGATACGTACAGAGAAATTCGCTTAAACTTAATATATGGTAATAATGATTCACCAATAAATATGGATAAAATAAAGTGTAATTCAATAAAACTCATGATCATTTATGTGTTAGAGATGTAGTGGCTGTCGCACTGGTAGGAGATGTCGGCGAACCTAAGCTCTGCCGTTTCAAAGTCAACTGTTGTGCCTGTTGTTGTGAAATAGTGGTGTTATGTAACTGTATGAGACATACCTGGGTCTGGAGGCGGGTCAGGCCCCGGATCCACAGTATCTGTCCCGTGCGCTTCACGTCTTGCGATAGGGAACCGCTGGAGCCGTCTTCGACCAGCGATGAGGTGGCGTCCAGGCCTTCGTCGGGCGGTCCGGAGCCCCACGTGAACTGTTTGGGTATGCGTTTGGTGGGTATCGTTGTGATGAGTTGACCCCATAAGAGTACACCGGCGCCGAATAAGACACACCACATCCACTGTTCGACGGTCAGCGCCGCCGTATTGAATGGCCGACCGCCCCACTGAACGATTACGACCTAACCATGGTCAATTCAAACCATACATTAAACATAATATCATGAGATGAAGTCATAGGGTATATCATGAGTTTGGGTCGGATAGGGTGACCATCGCATTACCTGAGCAATTGCGGTGACGAATAATATTCCATAGAATATGGGATTACTGAACAGTCCCTCGAATATATTCCTCTCGCCGTGTATTTTGCGTGAATTCACTTCATTGAATAGTGTCATCATTACAAATGTGTTGAATATTATAGTGAAATGTTGTGTGGGAAAGGAGTTCAGCGAGACGTGCAGTCCAGAATCGATATCAAAAAATTTGTCACCTTGGTCACATTTACTTCATTGAATAGTGTCATCATTACAAATGTGTTGAATATTATAGTGAAATGTTGTGTGGGAAAGGAGTTCAGCGAGACGTGCAGTCCAGAATCGATATCAAAAAATTTGTCACCTTGGTCACATTCGTGATGGTAAATAGATATACAAGTGATTAGCCATGTGGTTAAGTATCTCAACATTAATATAATTATAATCATAAACATTAACTCTATATGAATTCTGTGTATATTCTTGTGTAAAATAAATAAAATGAGACAAAACAAAGAATCTCATGAATATTCTGTATATCATCTCTCATTGCAGCCGAAAAAACACGACTCGGTTGAGAGCGATGCAAAAAATCACAGAATATTCTGTACGTTATACTGATATAACTATATTAGTGTATTTGTGTGGAATCGTGTCTATGTAAAAACTCCTAACTACCACGATTTAAATAAAATAAAAGCACACAATTGTGTTTAGCAATCAATTGCATATACAATACCTCCAAACAAAAGAAAAAATATAACAACCAATTGATAAATTGCATGTCCAATGATGTTCTTCATCATTGTTCTGGATATGAGTGGTTTCGTGCGGCCGTACGGCTT